AAGTTTAAAGCTATTTGTTACATAGATTTGTCAATTTGTGAACTAACAGTAAATGTGCAAAAGAATTTATGTGGGGCAGAAAGTGCCATAATTTTGATTTTAATCATATTTTCTGTATTTTCTTTGTAATGTTTTAGATTCCTGGCTCTGACACAAATCACTGTGAATACTTCTGCTACCGTCGATCCAGACGGGCTCTACTGTAACCTTAGTGAATAAGTGTCATTAGATGTGGTTTAACAAATCAGATTCATTGTTTCAGGTTAAAGAAGAAACATGAAAACAGTTTTAATCCAGATTAATTTAAATAGAAACAGATTATTTTCCAGAGGATCAATTTGAACCACCACTGCTCACTGGAGCCCTCTAGTGGAGAAAAGCTTAAGACACAGACTCATTGTGTTATTACATTGTTTTATGAATTAAATATAACCTTTATTGTAAAATATATTTGAATAAAATTAAAGGCTTATGAACCATCTCTGTAAATTATTTATTGGAGACGATGCGTGTTTTTCAATGCTTGACCATTAAGGTATGAATATCTCTGAACTTTTGTGGTTTCACGCTTTGAGGAGAAAATGGCTGCTGAAAGTTTCCTACAATCCATCAAAGCTGCTAAAGTTGCAACACCCAGATCAGCTCTGATAGAGACAGAAACTAACACCTCATCAACAACATCCTGCATCTCATGATCATTCATGTCAAATTTATCTGATGTGCGTGACAGAAACGAAACGTCACCAGTTTCCCATTAACTCTACAGTTCAAAATGTTTTCTTCCTAAGTATAGAGCTATATGTTGAAGTTTTGATCCAATGGAAAACTTTAGTCGAAAACAGTTTAAAAACAAGAGAATTTATTATATATGCAAAAGCTAATATTTTATATATTTTCTGACCCTGGAGGTTTGATCTGATTGGCTCGTTTAAATTAAGAAGGCGGGGTTTTAAAGAGAGATGTTTTTTTTTTCCATGTAGCTGCTGCTTTTTATGATAACTAGAAGTAAATAAACAGATTTTCTTGCTGTTCAGTCAAACTGGTGTCTCTTCTTTTCCACCTCTGTGTCAAATCGAGCTGCAAACTCATGACCAGAAAACCTTAACTCTGATCTGCAGCAGCTCAGACAATTAAACACAATTATGGTTGCATTATGTGTAACTACTTAGATCGTTTGGAAAAATATCTAAAAAATAAAAGTTTTAATTCATAGTTTGTCATTTTCCACACAAAGGCAGAAGATTAAAACAAGAGAAAAAGAAAAAAAACCTCAAAGCATCAGCTTCTATTCATAGCTTTGGCTGCTTAGTGAAACTAACACCTCACTGATGACAGATATGATGGCAAGAAAGTCTTGGAGTTGTTTTAATAATGTTTTAATATTAATAAGTATGCAAAAAAACAGGAAACTAGTAAAGAAAATATTTGCACGAATAATTGAGTGTCATGACTGAAGTGTTTTATGTTTTTAAGGTGATCTGAAAAGAACAAAGTTCAGACGTGGGACAGAGAGTGAAGTCATGATGAGGAGGAAACGCCTCCCAAACCACAGACCCTCATATTTCACCTCTTACCTCTTTAGACTCTCAGTCGTTTCTGATTGTCTGCAAGAGACACAGAGAGGAGCAATGATCACTGCTAGAGAGACACAAACATCTTTATTTCTAACGCTGATGCTTTACTTAACAGGTAAGAATATTTTAAACTATTATAAAAATTACATAAAACTGTTTAAATAATAACTAAAACTAAATAATGTTCCTTTTCTGAGACAGAGTTATTTTATTATTTTCCTGTTTTTCTCTCAGCAGCAGCTGGACAGGTTCAGTACTCAGCAGTCAGAGTTGGTGATGGAGTCACTTTGCCTTGTGGTTATTTGATCTATAGTAGTGATCACTGTGACGGCATCATCTGGATGTTCATTAATAATAGAAGATCATCAATACTGTTTGAAAAAGGACAGATACGTGAAGCTGCAGCAGCAAAATCAGACAGACTGAGATTTGCATCAGACTGTTCTCTGGTGATGAAGAACGTCTCTGTGGAGGATGCTGGTCAGTACACCTGTAGACGGTTTATAAACGGACAGCAAGGACCAGACTTTTACGTTGTTCTGGCTGTTGTTCACAGTGAGTTTTTATATCACTTTTGTCAGAACAAATTGTCCAACTACAAACTAAAACATAACCAGAAAAATGACTAAGCTATGTTTTTCTTTTCAGTGGTTAAACAGAAGCAGAAAGATAAACTCATCCTAACCTGCTCTGTGACGGACATTAAACGCTGCAGACACACAGTGAAGTGGCTGAATGAGGGTGGAGAGGAAATGTTGTCAGACATGGAGGAACCAGATCAGTCCTGCTCTGATACTGTGACGATTCCAGCATCTGACAGGAACTGGAAGGTAAAGTCTGAAGTGTTAAAGTGTAAAGTTACAAATACTTTCACTAACAAACAGCAGCTGTTTGACTTCAGGATTCAGTCCTCTGGTGGAAAAACAGGTGAGAATATTTTCATGAACTCAGTTAGAAAACAATAATTTAACAATTAGAAGTTAAACACTGAATTGATTCCTTATTTGTTCTTATTGTATTTTCTCTGATAAAAATTCAATAGCAAAGACGACGACCACCACAAAACCACCAAGAACAACATCAACACGAAAGTCAACAAAGATGACGACAACAAAATTACCTGCAACTTTATCAACAACAGCAACAACTATGGCAATAAATTCATCTACAATCAACAATTTCTCCAAAACTCCAGGTAGAAACTGAATCTTTTGGGTGATAAAGTTTAGTCTTTATCTTAAACTTACTTCTTGTTTAGTCTTTTTATCAAACAGTGATGGTGCATTAATGATATTTCTTCTTTCAGGTTGGTCTATGGTTTATATAACTGGTCCAGCAGTGATCGTAGTAATTATTCTGGTGATCGTTGGATGGAAGAAAACCAGAGGTGAGGAAAACATTTTTGCTGCTTTGGTAAAATTTACATTTAAAAATTACATCCAACAAAAACTGAATGAGTATATTATTGTTTTTTTGTGTTTTAAACAATCTTACATCACAATCAGTCTGTTCTCTACATGCTGACTATTAGAAAACAGACAGGAAATATGTTTTTACGGAACAACTGAACCAAGTTACTCTTTTATTTTATTTCAGAGAATAAAACAAGAAAGGAAGAAGAAGGAAAAGTAAGTAAATCACTGAATCTTTGCATTGTTATTTCAATAGAAAATAGTTTTTTAATTTATTTATTAACTTTAAACTATTTTTGAGAAAACCATCCTGTTGTATTGGTCAGAATTGTATTTTTTGAAGGAATGCATTTTTAAAATATTCCAGATTCCTCCACACATACAATCCTTATATTAAAGAATATAAAAGCTTTTTAAAAAAAATTAAAACACGTTTTTAGTAGCAAAATCAATTTTTTTAAACCCAGCTTTTTTGTAAATACTTGAATTAGTAAATTAATTTACTGTCATTGCTTAATTGCACAACAAAATTAAAAGTGGTCTCAAGTTATTCAGTGAGTAAAGAAGCTCTAAAGCAACTTTAGTATGTTACCTACAGCAAAGTAAGGTAACATAAATCTACAGGTTTACTTTTGTCCTTCAGGATTTTAAATAAGAAGAAATTCACTCTGAATGTCCTGTAAAAAGCTAAATGCTGGTGATTTAGAGAAAATTATTTATTAAACCAAAATAATTGAATGTAATGTGTTGCTAATCTAAATACGGTGCAGTGTTTTATTTATTCTGTTGCATTCTGTGTACAGACTGATCCTGAGGACGGCGTCCACTACGCCTCCATCACTCAGACCAAAAAGACCAAAAAGACCAAAAAGACTAAAGAGACAAAGGAAAAACCAAGAGTAAGTTGTTCTACTAAAAACAACCTTTAAGACTCGAGACATGTTATAGAGTAATGTGCAATAGTTTAGTAGAAACCTCTGGTACTGATAATTAATTACTAAAATATGTAGCATGTTGGTTTGTGAAATAGTAAATGTACAAAGGATCATTAAACTTGAAATAAATAGGGATTTTTATGAACATGTATCTGTATTTTTTGTGTCGTTTCTTTTCAGATCCCCGACTCTGTGACATACAGCACTCTGAATACTTCTGCTGCTCAGGTTACCATCGATCTTGACAGTCTCTACTCTACACTCAGTAAATAAGTGGGATTAGATCATGTTTAATAAACCAGGTGGATTATTTCCAACAACTTTAATCTAGATAAAACTGAAAATGACTGAATGTTTTCAAGATCAGTGATCATTGGGGCCCTCTAGTGGAGAGAAGCAGGAAACGTAAACTCTGTAAAATTATTTTTTCTTGTAAAATACCAGTAATACTGAACGCTTGTGCACAATGACTGCTAAAGGTTATTTTTTTAAAATATATCTCCAATGTCCATGTTCTTCTGTGCTTTATAGTACATAATGTTTGACCGTTATGGTATAAATATCTTTGAACTTTTGTGGTTTCACACTGAGTGGGAAGCAATTGCTAAATTTTTCCATAATGTCAGACATGTTGAAGTTTAAATTTTAAAAAAGAATCCACCAGACTAAAACCTGCTGCTGCTATTGTTGCAACACTTGGATCATCTCAGAAATAGACAGAAACTAACACCTCACCAGCAGCAGATACACCTGCAACCTGTAAGTCATCGCCTGTAGTATCAAATCTATTCTTATGCACATAAGAAAAACAAAACTTTCCAGTTGTGAATCGTCACAGGAAGATCTCTTTCTGCTACAAAACCCAGCCACCATTTCTTTTTCTAATTCTAAATTTTTGAGTGTTTTGTTCCAGATTGTGTGTCCTACATTTTGATATTAAGATAGTCAAGACAGATGTTGCTGTTTATACAGCAAAAAGTTAAATGGAGAAAGAAAAGTTCATGGTGAGATTATTTTAAAAATGCTCTTATTTCCAGACTCAGTCACAGTAAAGAACCACCAACACTGACCCTGGTTCTGGTTCCTTCCTGTTAACATGGAGTCATTCCTTCCCGCTGTCGCCTCATGCTTGATCTGGAGCAAAATGAATGCTGGACTGCTTTAAATTATTTAACCAATCAGCCTTACCGAGTGTATGCTACTGCTTTGTATTATAACCAGGACTGAACTGGAATGTATGTAATTGAATCTGTCTTTAAAAACACATTTATTTGATCATCTGGAAATAAATTGGGGATTTCTTTGTCCTGTAAAATGCCTTGAAAAGGTATTTACTGGAACTGATCACTGTTGTGTAAAAAGTTAATAGATAATATTTTAACGCTTCTCATTAAATAATAGTAATAATTTAATGTGATGGATATTTGTGCATACTTTTTCAAATTTTAATTCATCAACCTATTTTTGTCTTCATCATAACTTTGTGCTTAACAGTTAATTAACAATTAGATGAATGTTTGTGTTCAGATTGCACTGATATGAATATTATTTCTGCACAGAAAACACTGGGTGAGAAAAAATGGTGAAAAATGTGCATTTAGTTACAAATCTGTACTGGGATTTTAAATATTGTTTTTATACTGTCTAGGAAAAAAATACAAAAACCTTTTTGATTTAGTTGAATATTTGTCTTTAAATTAAAAAGCTGCAGATTAAGTTTGTTGAATCCTATTCATTGTATAACCATAGGGGGGCGCTAGAGATCCTTCATGTTTCTGTCGCACTTCTACATTTATCTGTGTTTAGTAAACAAAATACACTTTCGCCCCTGAAAATATCTGATAGTGAACTACGTTCCTGCAAATAGTATATAATGCATTAATATTTATACTATGAGAGCAGATAAAATGTTTTCCACGGAGTCGATTGGACTGTTCTGATATACCCACAGATGATTGATGCAAATAGTGGACAAGTTGTTTCCAAATACCCCAGAACCATATGCATCAGATGCTCTTTAGAAATAATTAAAACACTTTGGTAATTGATACATTAAAAATTCCGATCCTTAGAAAAATCAGAGTGACGGATACTTTAGCAACTTGCAGAAAAAAATTAAAAAGAGAAGACAATAGAGGAGTTATTAAAAACTAAATATGAAGAGAGATGTTAAAAAATGAAGGTTGGAGGAAAAATAAGTTAAAAGCAGTTTTGTGTGGATTAAAACTGAAAAAAGTTTTAAAATCAGAACAAATAAAGCAATAAACCTTCCTTCAAAGCTGCAGTTACTTATATAAACAAGGATTTAAAAAGTTTTCTGAAATATAGTCAGAAAGGAACCAACAGCTTTGTTTCTTTGGGATTCCAGGTAGGTAGCAGCTATTTGCATGTATTTTAGAAGCAAATGTTTAAGTTAAAGTTATATCATTAATGTCATGAGGTTCTAGCTTTAAGAAAGAAAAAGTGAAATTCAGGCTTAAGAACAAAACACACCAGAAAATGTGTTTTTCTCTTTAATCCTAAATGGGAAACTTTTTTTCTCTGGTTCTTTAGAAAGCTAGCCGAGCTCCGTCTCCAACATGACGAACGTATGCAGACGTTTACCCACATTAATTAGTGTGTGTGGGTGTGTGTGTGTGGGTGTATGAATAAGTTGTGTCTGGTTCTGTGCAGAGTAGCGTTCATGCAGTTCAGGACAATAGGCTGTCAAACAAAGTGATTCTGCCTGAGCGCCGACCCCCTGCAGGGAGCATTCCTCACACAACCGACGGTCCGACTCCTAAAGGCCACGAACGGATGAAAATATCCAAATTCTTTAAAACAAACATGAACCAGAAGTCTGTGTCTGATCTGATCTGATGCAGATTTACATTCAGATACCCTCAAAAAACTGATCAGAGTTCAAATCTAACTGTAGTGTTTACTTTTACCCACTAAGTAGATTTATTTTCTGACATCGATCAAAGCAGAATTTCATATAAAGATAAATCTGCTCCTCTTTAATGTAACTCTGTTTCGTGTTTATAGAGTATACACACCCATGTGACTAACAAAAAGAGTAATTGCATCATTAAACACACAAATGGGCTAATTCAATTTGTATTTTCTAGTCAAAGAACTTGACCCAATTTAACAGCCAATCACAGCTCAGTTAAAATCTCCTGAGCCAATGCGATGCTGGGCACCGCCCACATGTGTGCATAATAATAAGAGGCAGGATGATAAGTGTGTGGAGTAAACCTGGAAGGGCTGCAGCTTGCTCAGTGTGCTTTGGAGATAACTGTCCCCTGCAAACCTTCACCATGGTCGACGCCTTCTGTGCCACCTGGAAGCTGGTCGAGAGCGAGAACTTTGATGAGTACATGAAAGCACTTGGTGAGTCTTTTTTGATACTTATGAGCAAGTACAAGACAAATCTATGTTTTCAGATTATTTTTGAATGCAAACTGCACATTTATACTGAAAAGGTTTAACAGACTCTCATCCCTGTTTCTCTTCCTCAGGTGTGGGCTTTGCCACCAGGCAGGTCGGCAACGTGACCAAGCCGACCGTCATCATCAGCCAGGAGGGAGACAAGGTGGTGATCCGCACCCAGAGCACCTTCAAAAACACCGAGATCAGCTTCACGCTGGGGGAGGAGTTCGACGAAACCACCGCCGACGACAGAAACTGCAAAGTAAGATCCCAGAAAACAAACACACACTGCTGTAGTTCATTCTATTCAGCAAGTCACAGGAAAATATGAAGATATTCACTGTCTAAATATGAGCAATTGAAGCAAACAAAATGTGTTTTAAGATCAAAAAACGATTTATGATTAATTTAAAGACACTAAGGATTTGAAAACAAGCATAAAACTTTTCTGCAAGCTAAAAAAGTTTCTTTTCTTTCCATGTTTGAAAATTGTGTGATTTTTATAACTGTGCAGTTACTGAACATCTTAAACTATCAGGAGAAAAAACAGCAGCTATACTCTGGTTTATTTGAGGCTTTTTCACACTGAAACTCTTATTTTGTTCCTTTTAGTCCACAGTGACTCTGGATGGGGACAAACTGGTCCACGTCCAGAAGTGGGATGGGAAAGAGACCAAGTTCGTCAGAGAGATCAAAGACGGCAAAATGATCATGGTAAAGACACAACATGCACATTTTTCTCTTCATTAACGACTTTTATTTGTGGCTCAATCAATAAAATGTACCAAAAAAGAGCTTAAAGTAGAATATTGTACAAATGTTCATCTTCTTCTACACATTGTGTAAAAGAAGATGAATTGTTTTTCCATAAAGAAACAACAGTTTCTTAAATGTTGGAAATATAAATTAGGTTATGTGCACAAATTAATGATATTTCAGCACAAGTAGAGCAAATCCATTGGCAGCAAAGAATCCCATTAAATATTATCTTATCTTATTGACTGCATGTATAATTAATATTTTTATGCTCGTTTGTCTGAACTAAGTCTAATCCAGACCAAAGTTCTTACATATTTGTGTCTGCTTTGTGCAGAATTTGACCTTTGAAGACATCCATGCGGTGCGCACCTATGAGAAGGCATGAGAGCTCCACCCGACAGCCCCACGAACCGGCCAACCCGCCTCCGTTTTATAATTATTGTGGACTGTTTGCTCTTTGCACTTCATTCTCCTCCACATGTAAAAGATCTGCAAGCTGCACATGTTTTGTAAAATGTTTTTTTTATATGAATACATTTCTGTCATGACAAATGAACGACTTTGCAACACTGCGTAAGACATGAAATAAAGAAATGAAATGTCTTGTGTTTTCATGTGTGTGCTGCTTAAAATGAATAATTTAATACAAATAGTTTACAATATCGCACATCGTGTTTTCTCCATAAAGTTAATCCGATGACAAAAACACTGATTTTTTTTTTTTTCATTGCAAAACAATATTAAGCTGTTTTTGTAGCACATTTTCTGTGTGAGAGCTGTTCTGAAATGTGAAGCAGTTTAGAAAATGTTATCTGCCACACCCTTTGGAAAAGGGAGGGGTGGGGATGAGGCTGTTTTCTGGGATAATTAAACTTCATGCATTACATTTTAATTACTGCAGCCATTTTAAATGAGTTTTGGCAGAAATGTTCCTCTGACTGTATTTATCAATGACTAAATGCTCTCCTTTTTATTTCATTTCAATTTTACTCTAAATTAAATTAATAATTTTAGAAGAATACATTGTAATCCCAAACATAATCAGTGTTTGTATAAAGTAAAGAGTTTTATTCGGATAAAAAACTGAAAACTTATGTAATATTTTTAACATAAGATCATGAATGTAGATAATCTTTGATTATCTAAATTAGATTAGTGTGACTTTAAAAATCAAAAATAGAAAAACTGGTTGCGTACAAACTTTTTTTAGTTATCCTTAAAGGTCTCTAATATCTAAAGCTAACATATGTTTATGTATTCACGAATAGAAGAAATTATATTTATTGAACTCCCCGCCAAAAAATAATAAAAGGTATTTTGGTCATTACAATCATAAACATAGATGGTATAAAAGACAAATTACTATCTGGTTTGTTGTCACCGCTGGAGGAATCCGTCATAATGTAAACAGTACGTGCTCAGTTTGCTCCTCCCCCTTCAGCTCCACAACAGTCAGCTGATCAGCTGATCGCACTACTTCCTGTTTACTTCCTAGAAGTGATCGGCTACTTTAGTTCAGCTACTGTACTCCATATAAAACCCATGTAAAGAACTTAGTTTTGTTGCTTTCCTCTCATCATGGCTCAGGTAGTTTGTTTCTTTCTGCTGCTCTGCGCAGCGGCTCCGGGCTCTGCTGCTCCGACCGGAAACAGCTACCTGTCAGGAACAGGTGAGTGAAAAACTCATGTTTTTAATGACAACTGGAGTCTTTTATCAATATGCAGAGAAGCACGCAGATCTAAGGGTGCAGGAGAGGTTAGTCTGTGGATGTTAAAGTTTCTCTTTACGGTTTTAAACGGCATAAAACGCAGAGCTGCTAGCTAAACCAATTATAGTGGATATCTATATAAATATGGCGATACTTAGCTGATTACTCCCTTGCCGAATTGTTAGAAAGGCTCTACTAATGTGTACTAAAAGCTACAATATGCTGTTGAAGGTGAATGTTTTATTCCAAAAGCAAATGTGTAAGAACTGGTAGAGTTTTAAACGAAGTTCTGCCTGAGACGTCAGACTTCCACTTCTGCTGCCCTAGAAAACACAATGATAAAGATAGATTCTTTTCTGAGGTGTCTAGTGTGTGTGTGTGTGTGTGTGTGTGTGTGTGTGTGTGTGTGTGTGTGTGTGTTTTAAGAAAATTAAAATACACAGAGTAAAAGGAGAAAAGACTGCTGGCTCTTGGGTAGAGTCTAACAAAACATGAAGAAATTCAATTTTTAAATTTTTTATTAAACTTAGAAAAGTGAAATAGTTGATTTCAGTGGATGTGTTTATAGACACAACAACGGGTCAGTAGGAGGGCAAAGAAGTCCTATGTTTTAGGATTTGATCATGGTAAAACTGTCTCATTGTGATATCTTATTATTTCTATTAATATGATCCAATATCCTGTTTTTGCAGGCAGGTTCTGGCACATCACTGACCTCCACCTGGACCCCAGCTACCACCTGGCCCAGGACCCCACCAAGGTTTGCTTCTCCTCCAAAGGAGCCCCCGCCACGCACGCCGGTCTGTACGGAGACTTCCTGTGTGACTCCCCCTACAGCCTGATCCAGTCAGCCTTCACCAACATGGCGCCTCTCACACAGCCGGAAGACTTCATCATCTGGACCGGGTCAGTACAGATAGAAGGTGTCTCCCAATGATGGAGGAAATATTGGTTTTGTGATTTCTTTTTTTTAATAGTTCTGGCCTTTAGTGACTTTACCTTGAGGTAAAATTGTGCTGACCACTGATAATGTTGATGTTTGTCAGCAGTAGAAGTAACCAGTTTACTAAAAGTATCAGCAGTTTTACATTCTGTTTCTAATTTTCTGTTGTTGTGGATCTCAGATAAACTCCTTTAAAACAGAAAGAATAGTTCTGGGAATAAATTCTGACAGATTTAATTGCTTTAATATTTCCATGTCCATTACTGTGAATGAAGACGTTACAGGCTCAGTATTGTTTATTAGCCCATCAGTCATTGTAACTGCAGCATTAACAGCCAGTTTTCAGTCAAATAAAACTACAATGTCATATTTTTACAATTAATATACAAACCTGGAAACTTTAACATCTTTAAAAGTAACAATTCACCCTCTAACATTGGGAAAGTAATTAAACTCTTGATCACTTCAGGTCAGTTTCTCAGTTCATGTAGTGGATCAGAAATGCTGCATGGCTAAATAGTTAAAGATTTGCTTTATCTTAGTTTTTTTCAGTAAAGCTGTAAAGCTGCCTTTAATTTTAAACTGAAAAGAAACACCAGAGAACATAAACATTTTAAAAAATCCACTTAACTCTGTTTTCACTAGGGAACTGATATGAGGAACAGAGAAAACTTTGATATGTGACTAAGCAAAGTATCACTTCCTTCTTTATTGTCTGGATTGAGACAATAAAACCTCAAAATGCCATCCTTTTTATTTTATGAATGAGTTAATCTGTAACAAAGCATTTAGGATTTATAAATAAACATTTATTATTCTGTTTATATGATAAAGAAAGATTAACTCATCATTTGTTCTTTCTCTACCAATGTTCTCATGTTGCTTAGAAAGTTTAGCTCAGCATTTGGGTTTTTTTCTGCATTCCTGTAACAAATCCAATGTACTGTGAAGAGGAAATATCACTTCCTCTTTGCTGAAGATACAATCACCTTTGATGTACTCTTCTGTGGTTTTTTTAATAAGGTTAATGATTTCAGTTTGAGCTATAAATCAGATTAGGTAAATTTCCCACGTTTTTTTATCCAGTTAATGACTTAAGCAGATCTACCAGCTCAGGTTTTCTTTGTCTCACAGCGACAGTCCGCCTCACGTCCCTCCAGATGAGCTGTCTACTGACCTGGTGATCCAGGTGATCAGTAACATGACGCAGACCATCACTCAGCACTTCCCCAACCTGACCGTCTTCCCTGCACTGGGAAACCACGACTACTGGCCACAGGTAACCACGACTACTGGCCACAGGTAACCACGACTACTGGCCACAGGTAACCACGACTACTGGCCACAGGTAACCATGACTACTGGCCACAGGTAACCATGACTACTGGCCACAGGTAACCATGGTACCTCACAGAGAGTAAGGATGAAGGATGAAGGTGTAGCCCAGTCATCTCCAGGCTAATTACCCTGAAGAAGGGGGAGTTTTTTTTTTTTTTTTCTAGTTCGGAAATCGCCCCACTTAGCTAAGGTGTTCCCCAAGGTCCAGTTTTGGGCCCAGCTTTGTTTGCACTGTATTTGCTGCCTTTGGGGTCACAAACGTTTATTTAACTGTTTTGCTGATGACTTACAGATTTATCTGCCCATAAAAGCTGGAAGACTAATTTGAGCTTTTACTGCAACGTTTCCTAGACGTCAGAAAGTGGCTGTCTATAAACCTTTTAAAACTGAAGGACAATAAAATAGAAATCATCTTTTTTGGTAACTCTGTTACAGTTAATTAAATCTGAACATATATTGTATTAACATAACCAACTTCGAGTTTGGTTATGTTTTTGATTATTTAGTTTTAGAACCAGATCAGATCAGATTAGGGTGTACTTTATTCTCACCATGGCTGTATGTACTTATTATTTTAGGACCAGATGCCAGACTCGACTAACGACATCTACAAAGCAGCTGCTGCTCTGTGGAAACGCTGGCTGGAGCCTGAAGCTCTCACCACTCTCTCACAAGGTGCGTTAAAACCTTCCACACCAACCAGGATGTTTTAAACGCTGGGAAATGGACCAGGCTGTGGAACTGAGCTGCGGTTCTGATTCATGTTTTTATGAGATCCAGTTCAGTTTCACTTTAGAGCCTGAAACTAAAACAGATTTAATCTCAGAGTTAAGCTGTCTAGGAAAGGCAATATGACTAAAAATTAGAACATATAATGTTTTTATCTGCTATCCAATGGTAATTTTGTGTTTTAATCCAAATGCACAATTTTATTATTGTTTGAAATACCAATTAATCATATTCAGATTTTTGTATGTCTTAATGTTTTGCAAAAATCAGCAAAATTTTAAGAAATAAAATCAGCAAATCCTCAGTTTTGAGAAGCAGCAGTAAACCTGGTATTAGTAGGTTTCATGTGTATCAATGTTCATGAAATCACATGGACATTTTGCAGTTTATACTTCTTGCCATTTGAATTTATTGTTAATCACTAACAGGTTCATTTTAAAGTTTTGTTTTCTGTTGGTTGTTTTGTGATCTGGTTCGTTCCTGCAGGTGGTTTCTACTCCCAGCTGGTAAAACCAGGCCTGCGCCTGCTGAGCCTCAACACCATCCTGTACTACGGACCTGACAAAGTCACCATCAACATGACCGACCCAGCCGGGCAGTTTGAGTGGCTGGAGAAAACTCTGGAGAAATCTGCTCAGAGCAAAGAGAAGGTTTGAACTCTGACCTTAAAGCCGGTGTGCTCGGTCTGTTTGATCCCTGTAGTTTAACGTTTTTGTCCGTTAGGTGTACGTCATCGCCCACGTCCCGGTGGGGTACCTGCCCTTCGTCGGGAACACCACCGCCATCAGAAAGAGCCACAATGAGAGGCTGGTGGCCATCTTCAGGAAGTACAGCCATGTTGTTGCAGGGCAGTTTTATGGCCACACCCACAGAGACAGCATCATGGTGCTGCTGGATGAGCAAGGCAAGAAAAACAAGCAGAGTGGACCCAAACACGCCGACTGTTACTTTAACTGACCCCAGGGGTAATTCTGCAGCCTGTCAGCTGTCTGATGCCCAAACCTGCCTTCTAATTTTAATAGTTTACTTTAATATCCATCTCATTATGAAGTGCAACACATTGCATTAAGATAACTGATGGTTAGTTGTGTTGTTTTAAGGTTGTTAAAGTAACTCTCAGTAATTCCCTGAAGCTAATCTGACCGTTTACTGTGATGCAGTATTACAGCCATTATAGATCAAATTAAACAATTATGTAGCCACAGAAGAGGAAATCGGTGACATTTGAAATTAAATTGTGAATAACATATCTTTAAATGGATATTTATGGTGTTGTTGTGACAGTACATCTGGTTGCGTTTCTGCAGGATATCCAGTGAATTCTCTGTTTGTGTCGCCGGCTGTTACTCCCATCAAAAGTTTTTGGGAGCAGTATTCCAACAACCCAGGTTTCCGCATGTATCTGTACAGCAACAAGGACTACAGTGTCATGGTAAGAAGGTTTTAACGAACTAAAAGCTTCATTTTATTGTTTGCTTTTATCTCATACAAATAGCACTGGTTTAATACGCATATAATAGTATTCACAGCACTGTTTTGGAAAATGCTAAGTCTCTCATATTGGGGGTAAAAAGGATCTTTGATACCAAGATGAAGGTTTCTGTATCAACTTTAAAGCCAGGCAGCGAGTGGAGAGGACAAAAACAATAATTCATTGTAACATAAAACAGTTATAAGTCAGTTATTTCTGACTCTTAGTTCATGTATAAATCTGTTCTGATGCATAAAGAACTTCATACTGATTGTGTTATTTTAACAGAAGAATTAAGGATTTGTGACTTATTTTCTTTTGAGCAGGTGTTCTAACCGATTTAAGCTAAACCTCTAATGTCCCTTCATCTTTCTGTTTAAAGAGCGAAGCTAAACGTGATTTTTGTGATTAATCACGGTGCCAATCAGAACACAAAACCTGGTTCTGCCTTTCAAACTGACTTTGCTTTCTTTCTTCGTCTCTCCTTCTATGCGGCTCTTTTCTGTCCCTCTGAAGGATATCTGGCAGTACTACCTGAATCTGACTGAAGCCAACGAGAAACAAAGGTCCGACTGGAGGCTGGAATACATCATGACTGAGGCGTTTGGACTGAGCGACCTGCAGCCGAAAAGTCTGCTTCAGCTGGGCCTGAGCTTCATGCTGCCGCAGAGCAAAGCCTTCGATAAATACTTCAGCCACTTCATGGTCGACTACAACAGCAGCATCGTCTGTGATGGAAGCTGCAAGGTCCACCAGGTGTGTGCCGTTCTCTACCTGGACCAGCAGTCGTACTCCAAATGTGCTTCCAGTGCAGACTGGTAGCAAGTTTATCCTCAGGAAAATTTTAACTCTTTAGTATTTTTGTGTCTGCTGGAATCAAATAAAAGGGAAATGTTAGACTCTGCCTTCACATCAACTGGTGTTTCAGTTTGATGCCACTTTATGCTTTACTTGATGGATGTGGAGAATCAGATTTGTTATGTTGAACAACACAACAGCTGAGGTACCTGATATAATTATTGTTGTGAAATTTGATGATGAATGTTTAAGTTTCATGACCAAAAACTGTTGTTGCATATTCTATAAAACCAGAGGATGTCATGATGTATATTTTAATCTACATTCCTCGGTGCTTTTTAGATAAATTTTGTTTTATTGATTTAAAATGTGTCAAAGTGCAATTTTAATCCCAAAATGTGTTGCTACTTTCTGCTGGATTCCCACAGTTTCTGTTTCCATGGAAACTAAATATAATATTTAGAAATACTTTGGATTAAGTAGAAAAAGTGTTTTCAAATTTAGAATTTTTTCTGATATTGTAAGAATATCAGAAACCTAAACTTTCTATGCTGAATATCTAAAATAAATTAAACATTCAAATTGAAATTTTAATTAAAACTATTCAGCAGGCAATAAACTTAGTTTAAAAAAATATATGATTCTACTTGTTACTGGAAATATCGGTAAACCAAAAAAAAATCTTGCTCAATTAATGAATATTTTTTTTCGATATGTGATTGTATATGTGCTGCCTAAAGATAAATGGAACTATTTATCACATTTACAGATATTTATACATAATTTTCTGTTTTTGTGTGTTTTTGATTTACCCTTTCTTGCACTTCATCATTACCATAAGAAATGCACAATTTGTTTGTGCAGCACCAGGAATGTGTTTGTGGAGAATTGAGCCTCTGCATGCAGACAGGATGATGAACATCCAGGATGGGAACTCAGTTGATTCAGGATAATTTAATGAGAACAAATCGTGTTGTTTTTTGACTAAATGTTTGTTTTACAGATGCCATGTTACAGTGAGATTTTTGTTATCTATAACTGATTAAATGTGAATCAGGTCACATCTGTGTTTTAATACAGACAATAATGTTTATGAATTTCATTTTCTGCTTCATCAAAATTAAACAGAAAATGTGTTATATCTTGCACAATATTTATTTTGTTTTCTGCATATTCTTTCTCTGAATAGAGAAACATTTTGTCTGAGCAACGTCGGTTTATTCATAGATTAATTATCCTTGAAGAATAATAAATAAAATGAAGAAAAATAAGTTTCCTCTAATTAACCGTCATCTAGTGACCAGGCAGAAACAGAGATTGGTGCTTTTCACTCTCAGAACTGTTTTCTTGCAAGAGAACAGAAAGTAGACATGATCATTCTCTGATCTGTTGTGACTGGACAGAGTTGTTACCTTCTTATGCGAAACTTATCCCAACGTTTCTGCCTCAGAAACGACTGAGACCTTGGAAATCCTGAAAATGGAGGAAATCCTCCCTGAGTTCCAGTAGGATGAAAATATGATAAGCCTCACACGAATATAACCGTTACTGCTTTGTTCCTCCGGTTATACATTGTGTTCAAATGAGTTATTTTCCAAAATTCCACTAAAAGACCCAGAAAATAATTAAACGTTATAAACTGAAGCAGCATGAACTAGTTTCCCCCTGCTGGAGATGCAAAGCAACAGCAGTCAATACCAGTTGACCGTCAACACTCAAGTTCATTCCCTCCCACCACCCGATCTTATTCTTCTCTTGTTCAAACTTTCTAGAAAATCCCCCGCGTTTCTCAGCCACCAACTGAAGAATTTGACCCTCACCTCCTTCCCATCACCCTCCCGACTCTTTTGTCCCCTTTGCCTCGCTCCTCTAATGTTGAGTGGACCTCAACCAAAGCTTCCCGCACACTGCCTTTTTTGTGTGTTCAAATGCATCAGCTCAGATCACCAAAAGCTGGACGGCAAAAACACTAAAGTTTCCCATCTTTCAAAAACACTTTCAAAAATTAATGTAATTCACTTTCTGAGGGGAATCTAAGTAGCAAAGGTTAGTTTAGCTGCAGCCATTTGTATCCCTCATTTTATTTGATCAATTAAGATCCATTTAAAATTTGAAATTTAGATTTAGAACTTGAGTTCAGATATCCTCGTGTTTAAAGAATGAACTACTAGATTTACTAGTAAGTAAATTAAACCCACAGTACTGTTGGAGAAGATTTTTTTTTTTTTGGTCAGGAGTTTAGGAATCGTTCCTGAGCCTCAGCTCTGTACTTGGAGTGTTTGCCAAACTCTTTCCCCTCATGTGCCCCTTTGCCTTTATTATTCCTGTCCATCCCCGGCCTCCCTCCGCTCAGTTCCTGTCCAAATGTAACCGTGGAGACTAAGACGGTGCTAGGAATGGCAATGCAGAGGAGTCCATCACCACAGTAACAGGAGCAGAGCTTCCAATCATGTGGATCCATCGCTTCGCTCACTATTATTAGCAATCCTTTCAACTCCAGAGCAGACAAACTGATGAACTGTAAAGCATGTGTGTGAGTAGATGAGATTTCTGCTGCAGATTCTGATGGACTTTAAGCTTCATGAACTTATGAAATTTTGCTTTCTTTACAGCATTTTATGCACATTTTATGTAGCAGCCAAACTACCAAAACAGCATGTTTCTTTACTAATGTAGTGGAGACATAATTATTTGATATCATCACTGTACTGGAATGACTTACCTTAGCAGGTCAGAGAGGCCCCTTCTCTGTCCACTTTTAAAGCTCGTCTTAAAACCCATCTATTTTACTTGGCTTTCAACACCAGTGGGATCTAGTTTTAAATTGTATGTTTTTTGTTTTTAAACTGTTTTTAAATTACTTTTTTATTATGTTGTGTTTTTAAATTGTACAGCACTTTGTATTTGTATGGTTGTTCTAAAGTGCTTTATAAATAAAGTTGGTATGGTATGGTACCTCTAAACACAAATGCAGCTAAAACTGTGACAGATCACTTGTTTTTGTGTCTATGTTTTTTTTTTTTTTTTTTCCACAGTTCCAAACTTTTTAAAGGTCTAATTAATATGGTTCACCACCCAGGGCATCATCTTGCCCAGGGAGGTTGCATGGGTAACAGTACCTGCGTTTCCATTACAAGAGTGCGCAAAACTTTGTCTATTGTCCACTACTGTCAAAAAAACATTAGTGGACAATTGTGGTGTTTTCATTAAATAAGAAATGCAATTAAAATCACACCTGAATAAGTTTGTTCATGCAATAAGTCATAAAACAAAGATGGCATCATCCTCCAACTACTCTAACTGTGCAAATTTCTCTCTCGCTCAAAATTATTTGATTATTCACAGATTTCAGCTATTAGGAGGTTGTGGTCTCTAACCCCACCGAATATTGGAAATCCACTGGATTTCTACATAAATTCATTCACAGGCTAATTAAAGCTCAAACAGACAAGATAATATAAGGAGACAAGTATTTAAAATGTTTTCAGACGATTACAGCTGTGTAAAGTCTTCATGGTGCCAATGCAGACCCTTTATCAGAAACAGGAATAACTAAGAACAAAGTTTAATATTTCCTAGTATTGTTGCCAACACTTCACAGTGCAAGAAATGACTGAATCATTTTTGAAACATTGTTTTCAGTTGACAGACTGTCTTAAACTGCCTGACTGGTTTGGTTTGGCTCACTGACCCACATGTTCAGGTTTGCATAGGTTTCTGCTTTGTTCTGGCTGACTGGTGGAGGCCCACACCAGTTAATCTGAGGATTACTGTCAGGACAGTACACCCGTCCAGCAGCCCTCTCCTGGAGAGCAGGAATCTGTGTGTGCATGCTCCACATCACCTCTGTCCAGCTCAGATAATCCCTTTCAGCATCTTTAGGTTTGAAGAACCATCTCTTAAGAAGCTTCTGCATGAATATATATTTAATGTTATTATGTTTGATAAAGGCAAATTTGTTTTCTACCTATGAAATGCCATTTTGTGAAATTGTATTGATTATATGGAATTAATTTATCTTATTCCAATGGATATCTGAAGAACAAAAAAAGTTATTTCCTTTTGCTGAAAGATGAACTTGATCATTTACATTTTTTCTTGGTTAGGAGCCCTTTAAAGTCTATAAACTAGTTTAATTCATTAGTTGTTATTTGGGGATTGTCTGCGTTTTTTTAAAATGTAAACATCCCTGTTTACTCCAGAGCAATTAGTCTGAAATTGACATGACGCAACGCCGGCTACGCCCCCATGCGGAAGTAGAACAAACCTACAAACCACGTTTTAAAGGCACAGGTAGAGAAACTAAATGCATTATCCAGGACATTTTTGAGTCAATTTTGCCTCATCAGCCAACACTGAGGAAAAGACGAAAGAAAAGAATATTCTCCAACGAGTAGTACATCAGGTGTGAAGGTTATTTACGGGAAACGATGGAGAAATCAACATTAAAGCCCAAGTCTTGCAGCCAGAGAATGAATGAGGGGCACAAAGTCTCCGGTGTGAGTTTTGCACGTACAAAACAAGTGAGTAATGGCTTAAACAATACGAGCTTGTGAAAATCTGCTTTTAGGTAAATGCTTAACAATGAACATTAGCATAAAAAGGCGCTTAAATGTAAATACACAGATACTGCAGCACATATTATCGTGCTGCCATACCATTGGAATCTACACACATAAAATCAAGGATAACTACCTTAACTTATTGATCTTTGATTTGACTATCAATCACTGTCGTTAAAAAATGTGAAGTTTACTTCCAGTTACCTTCATACAGACGAACATGTAGAGGTTGCTGTTGATCAGTTTCCTTCAACGGGATTCATGGGTCTGCCGCAGGCCTTGATCCATTTCTTATTTCTTGCATTATTCTCTGTTTGAGTTTTGGAAATGTAATAAATGATATTCCGTCCTCTAAACAATCTGTGTAACGGCTGCCAGGATTACATGTTCCCCACTGACGAGGTTTTACCTTTATTTCACATTATTTTCCTCGAAATCTCTGTAATCGCAGCTCGTTAGCAATGACGTTAGAATGAACCCTGGCGTCCTGTCTACCTGTGCTACCCAGTAATCCGTCCTGGTAATGCGCATGCGCACGATGACAAACCCCCTAGAACACATGTGTCAAACCCAAGGCCCGTGGGCCACATGTAGCCCGCCATGTCATTTTATGTGGCCCCCGCAGCATTTTATAGGCCAACATTGACTTACAATAGGTTTTGAGCACGAATTGACTACAAACTACATCTCCCACAATGCATTCCGATTGTTACCAGCCAACATTACAGCTTCTTGCCACTAGAGAGCAGCAGAGTCACCTCAAGCTGCTTATTGATTTTCCCAGCGAATAAAACATCGACAAGCTAACATCAAAACGTCCATTTACAAGTAAGACTGTGAATGAAGATGTGTGTGAGTTGGTGTCAGGGCGGCAGGTCGCGCTAGACTTTTTTTGTTATCCATTATCTTGACCGACAACATAAAAAAAAATCGGTCATGTACTATTTTTATCCGTGAAATTACAATCATATTAACATCGGCTACTTAGTCGCATTCTATGCGGTTTAGTTAATATTCACCGTGAATCCAGATCCCATCACAAATTAAGCAGATAAATGTATCTACATTTTTCTCGTAGTGACAAAAACCACTGACTGAGGCCCCAATAACTTTTAATAAATTAAATTAAGCGACTTCACTTAAATTAGCATCACTTCACCCGCTGGAGTCTGAACGCACTTCCTCCTGGTTCCCATCTGCCCTTTTTACCAGGATTATTTATTTATTTATTTATTTTATTTG